TACTACTACTACTACTACTACTACTACTACTACTACTACTACTACTAACTATACTACTACCACTACTACCACTACTACTACTACTACTACTACTACTACTACTACTACTACTACTACTACCAGTACCACTACCACTACGACTACTACTACTACTACTACTACTACTCCCTAGTCCCTAGTCCCTACTCCCTCCTCCCTGCTCCCTGCTACACCTCTGCTCCTACTCTTACTCCTACTACACTTTCTCCACATAAAAGCAGCTCATCTGACCATTCCCAGCGAGATCAAGATGTGCGGTCTCCATTTTCAGATCGTCTGTGTTTCACTTCTTGAGTCAGTGTTGGTCGACCGACCTGGATTCTCCGAACCTGATAAAGTGACCTCTTTGTCAAGGCCCCCGAAATCTACTCATGAAATCTACTCCTCTATACTCCCCATGGCGAAACCTCCTGGCTTAGTGTTTGTGCCGCTTAGACGAAGAAATGTCGAGCCCTTCCCTCCATTCCCCTATCACACAATAAGTTCCTGAACTTGAACTTGGATTTGCTGTCGAGGAAGCCGGGGAAAAGTTATCCCGGCAGGGGACCTCACGCAGTGTGTCTAAAGGTCTAGAGGCGTAGAAGCAGAAGGTGTACAAATGATCTAGACGCATTGGGCTCCAAAGAGAGGTGATGCTGGGGGGCAGCCATAGACCTCCCAGCCTGGGCCCCGTGTCATTAACCGTCTTCGCACCGCTGTTCCGTGTGGGAAATCCACGAGGCCTTCAGCGGGGACCATCGCGATGGTGAGGTCATAGACCTCGTGGTTTCACCAGCGCCGCGCTCGAAGCGGATCCGGTGGCCGAGAAGTCGACGAAGAGGCACGACGTGAACGGATCACGGTGCTTCGGTCGGAACGTGGTCGGAACAAGACCATGAGAGATGAAGTCGTGGCGGATCCCTCATGGGATACCCAGACCCTTCGGACTGGAAGAGATCTGCCGCCCTACGTACGTCCTAGGTCTAGTCGTGGCCCCAGGTCTAGTCTTCTGGTCGTCTTACATCCTGGTCGTGTGGTTGTGTTTTTCGATGACCACGGTCCACCTATGTCGTGAGGTCAAACTGAACTTTGGAGTCCCGTCCCAAAGAACGTGATCCTTTTCAAGCCTGTTTGTGACCTCAAACCTGAGGGGACCAAGTTCGACTGAGAAGATCCATGGAATCTAGAACATTCGTTATGGCAAAAAAGACACAAGTTAACAAACAGACACGGTTGCCGCAGTTGCCGAAAAACAAGTGAAGAACGCCCCCACGACGTGCCGCAGTTGCCGCCAGCCGGGTCGGCTCGGTGGCCCGTCCCTTCGTCGATCCGGTTCCTTCAACCGAAGGCCGAAGTGATCGGACGGCTCACTTTGTGTTGGCGAACTGTTCTCGGACGCCAAACGCCAAGACCGTTCTCACATGTCTGAATTTGCTTATATCAAGTGGATGATTAATCCGAGTCGATGGCAAAAGAAGGACGTCTTCGGGGGACACGTGCCCATGTGCCACGTACGAAATGACACATCAATGATCATCAAATGCACAATGTGGCACTTGGTCGCACTTGGTTCTGCCTAGATTGAAGTGCACATCCTCCAGAAGTGAAGACTAGAGAGGCTCTTCATATCACGTAACACACATATGTGTACAAATACCTTTAATCGTCGAAGGCATCCGTGTAGACACACAGAATGTCCAGGCAACATACTTGATGATACTTGATGAATCTTGATATTTAAAATGACATGGTTCATCATGTTTCAAACGTTTCATCATGTTTCATGTTTCCTGCATGTTATACCTCCTCTACTGATTGGTACGAGACAATCTCGCGATCCTCCCCTCCATATCATCCTCCATTTGTCAGAAGAAAGTTCTCGACCGCAACCCCGCAAAACCCACGTGTACTATATACTTCGCTTCTTTCTTTAAAACGCATGGCAGAGCTGGGCCTGGCTTCGCGGGGTTTCCCGCCCGGGCATCCGGGCAGACAACTCCCAAACGCGCGGATCCATCGCCATCAGAAGACATAGCCTCGCTGCGGTGCCACCGGTGAGTCGGTTTTCGGTGTCGGTTGGATGAGATGGGTCGGTGGACTGCCGGAAACACGCGGGGAAGAAGGCGCAAGAAGGCGCAACTCTGGAAAGGCTTGGTACGGTAGAATGACTGGGATGATTTGGGGTGCTGTATGGGTCTTGAATGGTGGTTCATTGCAGGGTAGGCAGTTTTTGAGTGCAAGGAAGGCTGGAGAAAACCAGCTGTTGGGCTTACCAGGCAGGGAGTAGGCAGAGACATGCTGAAAAGGAAGTCTGAGCAACAAAAACCATGCAACTGACTCCCATGCCGTTTCCCTGGACAAAGAAGCTTAATTAAACTTTCCACCTGTGCCTGTTCCTGTTTCGCAGGAGGAAACCCCACTCCCACCCCCCCCAAAAAAACTGATCACCTGCAGTTGATCCAGGCATTTCTGTATATAGGGCAATGGAATTCATGGAATCAACTCCAGCTATATGGAGGACCTGGGTCGAACCCCGGGGGACCGAACGGTTGGAGCACACAGATGGTCAACCGAATGGACGACCATGTCCATGGTCAACCGGGCCCAGTGTCAACCGGGCTCCAAGTGCCATAACGGATCATTGGCAAACAGTGACTACACATGCACCACAAGTCATCAACACATACGCCGTATACTCTGTGCATGCTGGTGAGCTTGAGATATAGTTTTTGGTAAACAACATGATGTTTATGACATGATTAACTAAAACATACTAAAACAGTTTCCTAATAAAACAATACATCATCCTATGTGTAAAGTGACGACAGCTCAGGACTTATAAAAAGGATCTAATCATCCAAATGTAGCGACCTGCAACGAAAAGGTCTGGGGTTGTTATAAAAGGAGTTATAACAGGATTTAACATGATCTAACTAACCAACCTGCTTTTGATACTCTGGAATATCTTTAAACATCTTTGATATTTTCTGTTCAGGACTGTTTGCCGTACGTGGACCTTCCTTGCTTCCACAAAGGCCCGCCAAACCCAAATGACCCATGCGGAGACTGGGACACCATTCCAATCGCACAACGCCCACAGAAGTTGAAGCCATGGGAATCCACAGAAGTGGTCGCTCCAAATTGAAGCCACCAGAAGTTGGTTCCAGGTATTGGAGGCAACCTTTTCTGCACCGTGAAACGGCTGTTACCTCACTTTTTGAAACAAGAAAAGGCGACCAAGGGTCGTCCCAGTTTGTAGTGTAAACTCGTAAAACAAGGGTTCTTTGGGATGAAAAGATCATGAAAAGGTACTTTGGTTGGCCATGAATCCACTGGAGTTCATCAAGAGTCTTTTCGAGTTACTCTTCGATTACCATATCTTCTGAAAAGGTGGCAGTACTAGGTCTGTAGGGATACGAGCTGGGCACCACATCCTCGAGTTTCCACCCCCTTCGTCTCCCCCACTTCGTCTCGTGGCACTTCGACCCAGTTGCGGCTGACCAATCCCTCCAGCACCGCCGCACACACAGACCTCGCGGCTTTGCACCGCCGCGGCACCGCGTCGCTTCGACGCGGATCAGCGATGGGACGGGTCGCGACCCGCCGGGCGACCCCAAAAACAGGGATCCTGACCCGTCAGTGACCTCTCCCATCTGGGGATCGACATACCCAGTCAGGATCCCTGTAGACTCTTGATTGATATACCCCAGCCATTTGAATTGAACATCCTCTTCAAAGGGGGACTTTACTAATCAAGAGTCTACATACACCGGACCTCAGAAGGTAGTCAGGGGACCTCTTTAGGGACATGTTGATCAGTGACCTCATCCTGGAGATCTCTTCTTTGAAGGTCCTGGCATGTGCCCAGCACCCCAGCATTTGGGACAAAGCTGGCAAGTGATCTACCTCTCCCCCCATGACGGACACGCACAAGCTGGAAACACGGTGGCACTGCAGGTGTTGGTCATGTCATGTTGATTCGTGTATCAACATTGCCAACAAACAGTGCTTTGACCTCAAAACCCCGGACGCTGTTCTGGGACAATTCTTCAAGAAAAATCGTCAATACCTGGTGAACGAACCGGGGAAACACACCAGGGAGTTCTTATTACCTGTCCCCAAAGATTGTGTGCATCAACCACAAAGGTTGACGAAGAAAACACCCTAACGCGTAAGTTTGTTCTGCTCAAATTTCAGATACTGGTCCACTACACTTCTAAAATGCTGCGTCACCAATCTGCTGCTGGAGAGGGCGTTCCAAAGCATAGCTGCTCATGGAGAATAAACCTGTCGATGCAGCTGAGCAAGTAAGACATGTTATTTTGCTTGGTTAAATACACTAAGTCGAGCCCGATTGAGTCCAACATAGTCTAACAAACTCTCCTTAAACAATCCATAGGAATCCACAAGACTGGAATTATCAAACCTACATGTTTCCTCCTCTTCAACCCACCAATGATTCATGTCATGCACCAATGTTTCAATTCCAATGTCAGGTTTATTTTCATGCAACACACTCCGCGGACTCAGCCTGCCGAAGTACAAACATCGTAGTGCCTTGAAGCCCTTCTTAGGCGTCGCTGGGGTCTTTGCGCCTCGTCTCTGCGGGTATCGGGGGTCGTTCCGGAGGAGACGTTCCGGGTGTCGGTGTCGGCACGGCGTTGGCTGAGATCGACTGTCGAAACCAGTAAGTCCGAAAAACGTTCAAACAAAGACCACAATTCACCCTCTGTATACCTGGACCCTCCTGTCGGGGTACCCCACACTACCGGCCGTTCGGCATCCAGACAGGGCACCCCGAGGGTCGGAGGGTCCTGGTATAGTAGCTGCTTATATGAGTCGTCTATAGATCCACGGTAGTACCCATCCATATGAGTCGTCTCCAAACACTTCCGAGACCGGTCTTTTGAACGGTCATGTCTTTTGGGGGAGGTTGGCAAGCGGCAAATACGGAGCGCTTGTGCAAATGCATATATACACATGCTGTTTCCATGTGTTGTTTCTCTTTAATTCGCATTAAGCGGGTCATCCTAATTGCAAAATCCAAAAAACACATATCGAAATTGATATAATAGATGCAACCCCAAAACAAGGTTTTGGAGGTATAACAGTCAGGATCCATATATATTATAAAATGCAGCTCAAACAAAAACTGAAACACCACCCCAAAAATGCAGATTCTTTGATGGTCGCGTATACTCACAGAAACTCAGAATGAAAGCAGAATGAAAGAATGAAAACAACATGAAATGAACTCCAAAGGTGACCATTCTTGCGGCTGCCCCAAAAAACCTTCCAAAAAATAGGGAAATGAGACGGTCGCAAGTCCTCGTCGCTCAGCTGCGAACCATGTGTTGGCACCTTTCCAAGCCCAGTACACCTGTATCATCGTTAAAAAACAAGCACCAAACATCATGCACACATGACCCCGAACGGCCGAATGGTCTCGGCGGCCCGGACGGTGGCGACCTTTGAGACCAAGTCCAAGACCTGCGGACCGACGAGGTCACTGACCAACGAGGTGGGTCGTAGCGATCGTGGAGGTGTCACAATGGAAAACGAGTGGAACTGGTTGTTGTTGGCTGTTGGCTAGTGGAAGTCTGGTCTCCATTCTCTGTCTCTATTTACAAAGCTCACACTTAACCTCTTGCGTGCTTTTTAACTTTTCTGATCAGGATCTGTAGACTCAAGAAGCATAGGGTAGATTGTTCTAGTGGGTTTTAGTGATCGAGACAGCCATTTGGATGGTAATTAAATGCATTCCCAACGTTTTACATTGATTTTCATGACAGAATCCACCCTACTTGGATTGGTCTGGGGCCAACCTGGAGGGTTGGAGAATCCGACTCTACTGACATGCGTTCGTTACCTTCCCAGGCATACAATTTGCCCCCAATCGCCTTCTCAAAGGGTACGTGGATCCATACAGTTCAGTAATTAAAGAAGACACATGTGGTTCTTAAAATGCGTGGCTCACCATGAAGAAGAGTTCGGTCTTAATCATGTCTCAATTCATCCGGTATGACCAGTGATGTGTTCCATCAAGGCTGGAACAATGAGAAGCCGGAGTACATGAGATGCCCAAAAACTAATGATGAACAATTCTGAACAATGGTATAATCTCGAAGCTCACTTTGACATGAAGTTAAATAAAGTCCCAGTTAACTACACCAATTGTAAGCAGTAGGGTCAAAAATACTGAAGTGGATGCAGTTGTATCCATGTTTCCCACACACGTGGGGGGAGGTGGAAAAGCTTCAACTTAGCTCAAATCAGCTTGCAGTTTGACAAAAAGGTTTCCTTCATGGTCTGGTCTTTGTTGCGCGGTTCTCTTTCCAGCTGCACTGTGATGGTCACTGACCACTGAAAACACGAATGCCGCATTTGGGCTCCTGTCCCTGAGAAAAGTGGTTGGGAGTTCAACACGGTTCAACTAGCTTCTGAGGATGTGGGCAAGGAGCTCAAATGGAAGACCTCAACATTGAAAGATGAAAGACCTTTAAAGCCATGAGGACCTCCAAGCCTTCAACATCTGACCATGAGCTCAACATTTGTCAGTTTGAGCTCAAGGCTCCATATGAAAGACCTCTGAAACCGGTGGTTGTTTCAGTCATCTGATGTCATCTGTGTGAAACAGCAGTGATGGTCCAAGGCTCCATCAAGGCTCCACGTCTGTGTCGGCTCCGTCTGATTCCTTCCATCATGCCTTCTTCCAGAGGTGATGTCTTCGGATTCCTCCCTCCATGCCCCACATGCCGCTCACCTCGCCTGAGCCATACCCCACATGCCTCCGCCGATGCTATGCCATCAGCTTGAACCTCGCCATGGATGTCCCGTCCCATCACCACCACGACGGGGTTTGCAGGGACGTCATCCCCGTGCGACCTCCGCGCCAACGGGCCTGCCTCCCAAGCAAGAAGTGCTACATGTCCCGCCCATCGCGGCAGCTGAGGCTGCTCCTCCGCAGTGCCGGGCGGAGCAGGTGGTAGTGTTGGGAGAGGGTCTGGTCTCCATGGAACCGGAGATATTTACTTGGAACGGCGCGGTTCTTCCGCCGCCTTCAATGGCCTGGCCGGCTTGCTTTCACACTTCTCGATGTGCACACTTCATGACCGGATCAACCGAATCCTGAACTTCCTGACCTAAAGAACCAATTGACCCCCGAAATTTCACCAGTCCCAGACAGATCATGCTCGTCGCCGGGCTCCGTCGCTGGGCGAGTCAGCGTGCCCCAGCGGACGTCCCTGGAAGAATCGAAACCCGGTCGTCGGGCAGCCGTGAAGGAGACGGCACGTTCGCCTTCCCCGACAGTCCGGCCACCAACATTGTTTGCCTATACTCTCACCACCTGCAGCACATGTCAAACCCCAAGAGATTGAAAGAGATGCACACCCATCAGTAGCAACTCATTCTGTTCGTACAAACCAAGCAACTCATTGAACAGAAAAAACACACCACCAACCATCCTTCAGAAGACCCTTGCCAACCAAAGCCGCTTGGTCGACCATCCACCCCTCCATCCCCTTGTCCTCGAGGACGAGGCGCTCAGCAGCGGCGCTGTGTCGGGCCGAGACGGCCAGTGGCCGTGCTTGAGATGGCCGCTCGCCGGCCGCACGCGGCGAGCGTTCGGTGGGCGCCTTTGTTTAGGTCCGAAGGTCGACTGAACACGTGGTCGGAGGAGCACGGTTTGGACCGAAGGCATTCTCTCTACGTGTCCGGATCTACTGTTTCTATATCTATGACTGAAAAAAACGGTACAGGATGAACAGTGTGACTGTTTCCTTTCTTTCCAGAGTATCCGTGGGATTGGAAGAGTCAACATCACATGCATGACTGTCGTGGGGCATGTTCATGGGGAAGCATCTACACGTCTGCATGTCACCATTCCTATCTATCACTCCTACAGCTACATGGTCTCCAGCTCTAGACAAAAGCCTTGACATGATGGCATCTTGACGAGCCCCAATGTCTTTTTCACAGATCTCGATCTAATACCCTGGGGCTTGTTCATCAACAGTCAACATATCCTTCAATGAACCGATCCATGTCTTTTCGCAACTTGGTGTCCACCCACCTCAAAGGACAATAGGTCAAGAAGGACAATTTCTGAGATATTCCATCACCATTGCGACCATTGTCCATGTGTTTCTTTTCATGATATTGCAATGATATACCATCTTATCTTCATCTATGATATTGGGATGGAGTGAGGCCATCGCGAATAGGGTGGAGGCCATTCCTTATAGGTTGAAGGCCATCGCTACTAGGGTGGAGACCATGGCTGTTAGGGTGGAGGCCATTCCTATAGTACGTCGGAGGCCATGGCTATTAGGAGTATGAACACTTATTCACATGCTTTCACCATCTTTTCATGAAGGAACTCGGACACCCGCATCGAGCCGCGAGTGGCTCGCCAAAGCCGGTTGGACCAGTTGGTCTGGGAGGGAAAGTGGGCCATGACCTGGATGGTTGACATGACTTGGATCTGTAAGTCATGCGTTCGTTTGAGGTCCGACAAGAAAGGCCTGAAGTCATATGTATGAGATCGTACCTTATCAAGCCATTGTTTAACCACTCTTTAAGGAACAAAGAAACCTTCAAAACAGTCTTATTGGATCTTAATGAATTGTTCCGGCCGGTGCGTGTGCGATATCAAGATATCACCTGTGTTGTCAGGTGATCCTGTCGACCATCGTCCGGATCGAGCATTGGAACGCGTCGCTTCGTCACCTTTTTGAACCACGCGGAGACGAGGTTTCTGCATCGCTGACATGGCCGCAGGCGGACAAACGTAGCTGAAATGCCTGGATTCTATATATGGCTCCATATGGCTCCATGTATTTTTTACGTAAACGACCTATGTTGCATACTTGGACCATCCTGTCTGGGTGTCCTGGCTGGAGACCCCGGATAGTAGTGCAGGGTAGTCCAGCCACACCCCAGGTATAGGTGCAGGTTAGCCTCATGCTTGGATGGTCCTGACGACTGGGCGTCCCCTCCCGGATTCATGACGTGGGCGTTGTGGCGTTGCTTCCACCGAGTTCGGTCGAACGGTCGAACGGAACCGCCGAGTTCGGTACGTTCAACGCTTTGTTGGTGCGCCCATTCAGAAGACGATATCCCGAGCTCGGGATCCGTTCGAACTACCGAACGTCAGGTGGCTGGTGATGTGTTCGACACTGTGACGTAGGGGCCATTGTCGGGTCCAGTCATACCGAACTTGAGGTTCGGTACAACTAGATCCCTATAGGGCATGGGCTGAATTCGACCCCCCCAAGGAGGATCTCTTTTTGGTCAGGAGCTCGCACTCCAAGACCACATGACTTTCGCTGCTTCAAGCATGTACGCCCGGGAAGATTGGCATGGAACCTGAGAATGGACTTTTGGAAGACTATTTGCCTTTACAACCCAGTGGTTTTCAGGTTCCATGTGGGTCTCTTCCAGGGCGTAGGCCATCTCAAGTCGGCAACCAATCCGAACCTTGAAGAACTTGGGAAAAAAAGACTGAGATAACCAACATGCCAGTGATCTTGTACAACCTGCACCGATGTTTCATCATCCCTCTTGAACATCCGGATGCCGTGCCTGATTCTGGATGTGTCGACGCTGTCTTCGCCTTCAAACTGGCACGCCGCCATGCCCAGATCTACAAAGCCGCTGAGGACGTTTAAATGCGACACGCACTTGGACATGCGAGAAGATCCGCGAAAGAAGGTATCGACTAAGGTATCGGTGGTATCGTATCTGGAAAGTAATCCTTTCTTCCCCCAAAAAAGAAACAATATCACAGAACGGCAGCTCCTGGGAGTGCAGGGATCACAGCCTGCCACTCTCAAAAATACCACTGCTAAGGATGGTTTTTTGAAACACTATACTTATAGACCTGGAGACCCCTATTAGGACGGGGTGGTGGTTGGGTCTCCAGGACGGGGTGGTCACATCCCAAGTCTTCGACCTGTGGTCTCATGCACGGCGCGTCCGGTACTCTCGTACGTAGGTAGTACCGGTTTGAGTACACATACATGGCAGTGCACGGATACCGGTTTGTCCGCCTAGCATTCTCCCACAAAAGAAGCCTAGCCACAAACCATCAACTCTGCCAATCCATCAAACACCCCATTTGGATAAAACCTCGGGAGAACTAAGACAAGACAATGAGGTGAAAGATGGACAAACACAAGTCAGGTAGAACAAAAAAAAGGTAGAAGTAGCAAGAGCAGGGTGTGCGTTCTGCTGAGTCAGCATCGCCACAAAAACCGTTGAATACCGCTGATACGTCTGGGATCCGCAGAATCGTCCGTAGAGGAGGATATCCATGTCTTGAACATGCCATACAGCATAAGATGCTCACTCCTTCAGATTCCATTATTGGTCTGGAAATTGAAAGGTGAACCGAACGAACTGCACCTGTTCTTGTTTAGTAGGTGTCCCCAATCTCTCCCCAAAAAGAGTGGTGACGAGCTCAGGCGATCCACCGACTTCCTGGGTCATTTCCTAACTGGATCCCCCTGAAACGCAAGCGTCCAACACGTGAGCCGCCATCAGGGGCAACGCAACGCCTGTGATCAGCTGGTCCAGAGAAGCTCCAAGTCCCATGGTTGCGAGCAAATACAAAACTTAAGGCTGCACGACATCGAAAACGGTTTCCAAAACCAGGATCCACCTTCTCAGGTTCGACTGAGATACCACCTGCTCTACTGGTTTGAACCAAAAGCCAAAAAATGCTGCCCCTTCAAAACGACAGCTTCGTTCTTCCGGAAAAAACAAAAAAAACGGCTGGCACCCCTCCTCTGAAGCGGATGTCCCATGCAAGGTCAGAACAGTCTACTGAGTCTACTGGCTCAACAGCCCATCTGCTGAGTCTGCGTCTGCCGTCTGCGTACCGAACCGTTGGACTGAGCCGACCCGACGATACAACGAAGCCGGGCCGGTAGCTCGTCACCGCGCGGCGGGAAATGGCGGGAGAATCCGTGGAGGATCCTTAATTCAACAAAGCTAGGCTTTCAAGGTTGTCGGGGATTTCCCGCTCAAAGCCTTTCTCCGTTTGATTTTTTGAGGGGGTTTCCCCAATGAAACCAACAAAGGCTTTCTTTTGGTCGTCAGGGTCACTGGGTACAGCAGGCGTTTGTTTTGTTGACGCCTACCCTTGATTGATATCTCTTGATTGGAGTCGGAGTTGACACCCTTCATCAACATCTCTTTGGAAGCTAGGCAAATTTATATAAATCCAGAAAACTATAAACACCGGTTCTTAGTTTATCACAGGACTGGTGACAACCAGAAAACAGGACTGGGCCCGCTTTATCCCTTACAGTAATTATGGGGGGGTTTTCGATGGTTCTCCTATCCGTCTTGACCAGTGGTTTTGCTTATCACGGGACCTCAAACCTCCCAGCTGGCTTTCTCAGCTGACAGCGAACAGCGAATGAGCTCTGCAACCAGGTGCCGACATGTGTTTGCCCTACAGGTCAGTTTGACTGACTCACCTCATGAAATACTGGAGTTGATCATACAATAACACTATGCAACATGACAAGGAGACTGGACGTGGGTCAGACTGGAACTGTGGGTTGCCACTTTCAATGCAACTGAGAAGTCTATGATTTGTTCCTTTCCTAAATCTGTACCCCGAATTTCTACAGAACATAGCTCGAGGTGTTTATACAATTTTGTACATCATTATATAGTGAGATCAATCATGCCAAATTAAGGCTAAATGTTAAATCGCCATGAGAGAATCATATTTGACAGTCTTCCCCCTTCGCGTCTACTGGTTATCGGGCATGAAACAATCGCTTCTATAAGAAACCCCAATCTTCCCATGAATGGCTACATTGAGGTCATACACGTTTCTTGGGGATACAACTCTACCATGAATTCGATCATGGCACATGATCCCGCTGAAATTCCAAGTGTAAAAACTGCATCTCTTCGGTTCA